CACACACACACACACACACACACACACACACACACACATAATCATAGTGACACCACTGGCTGCCATGATATACATAATAAATTATTATGATTATTGTCCATACCTAAAGTAATGCAGATCCAGGCCAGGGCAGTTGTCGGCACACCGGAGACATTTCGTGCCGTTCCTGAAGCCATCCTGGTGAGGGGCCGGCTGTGGGTTGGGCGGGGGGATCGGAGGGCTGTGAGGGCCCATGTGTGGGTTGTGGGGGACCATGTGCGGGCTCATCTGAGGACTGTGAGGGCCCATGTGAGGGCTCATTTGAGGACTGTGAGGGCCCATGTGGGGGCTCATGTGTGGGGGGTGATGAGGCATGCACGGGCTGAGAGGGGCCATGTGCGTGTTGAGAGGGGCCATGTGGGGGTTGTGAGGGCTCATGTGGGGGCTGTGAGGAGTCATCTGGGGGCTCATGTGAGGGCTGTGAGGTCCCATGTGAGGGCTGTGAGGTCCCATGTGAGGGCTGTGAGGTCCCATGTGAGGGCTGTGAGGTCCCATGTGAGGTCCCATGTGAGGGCCCATGTGTGGGCCTTTTGGATGTATGTGTGGACTATGAGGGTTCATATGGGGATTCTGAAATGAAAGTATTTTTTTCAAAAAGTTAGAGGGGCAAGGTCAGCGATAAAACACACACACACACACACACACACACACACACACACACACACACACACACACACACACACACACACACACACACACACATAGAAATATAAGGAAACGACATATAATTATTCAATTAGCTGATCATCTTCTTCTTTTTTCTCATGCATCTCTAAATGGACATTTCCGGCTCTACAACAACGAAGGCTACTGTTCGACGCAGGTCCTACAGGCTCCCGTAGAATTTTGGGTCTCTCTGCCCGCAGCATCTATTCGGAGACGGCTCCGACGGAAATAGACCAATCAAAATGCTTTGTGCCTCCAGACCAAGTACAAAAATCAGGCGCGGGGGTTGCAGGGGGTGTTTAACCAATAATTTGATATTTTGAAGTTAAGTTTGAAATTTTCTTGAAAATAATTGATTTGCGAATGTTTTAGTGGCTGTATGTGTGATCTGCAGTAAAAAAAAAAAAAATGCAGTTTGACCCCCCAAAGAAGTGCATCTGTGCGCGGGAGTGCGTCTCCGAATAGTTCCTGGGTGCTCGCCGGAGACGTCTCCGAATATCTTCTGCCCTCTCTGCCTCGTGTTGGACCAATGATATTTCCTACTGAGTGCTACAGGCATTGGGCAGGCGTGTAGCTAATCATTAGTTCAATTATTTCGTAAAAGAGTATTAGCTCATTAGTTAGTTAATTTATTAAAAGTTAACTGGCTGTGTAATTCCTGCACCGGTGTTCTAGTCTTGCTTAGGGAACTATCGACACAGACTTGTCGTTAAAGTGGGCATTCTGAGGGCCTCGGTACGGATGAAGGACGAGCAAAGGTTTCCCGTCTCTCACTTTTACTATGTTGCATGTGTGTGTGTGTGTGTGTGTGTGTGTGTGTGTGTGTGTGTGAGTGTGTGTGTGTGTGTGTGTGTGTGTTTGTGTGTGTGCGTGTACGTGTGTGTGTGTATAGATAGATAGATAGATAGATAGATAGATAGATAGATAGATAGATAGATAGATAGAGAATGATAGAGAGGGATAGAGAGATAAATAGACAGAGAAAGAGAGAGACAGAGAGACAGAGAGACAGAGAGAGATACCTTTATACATGAAAACAATTCCTGACAGATTCATGACAACAATGTGGCATTCTCATCAACTCCCGTTTCCTCAGCTACCAAGATGTTTTGAAATATTTCTAAAATTCGCTTCTGTCGAAAACAAAATATTCCCGCTGTACAGGTAAAAACATTGCCATTACCGCTCACATTAACTCTGCAAAGATTTCTTTTATTTCTCTTGCTCTCTTTCTTTCACCCCATATCTCTCTCTCTCTCTCTCTCTCTCTCTCTCTCTCTCTCTCTCTCTCTCTCTCTCTCTCTCTCT